CAGGGTTCTTATGCAGTCAGGAATTACATGGGAAAGAGTAGCATTTCATTTCAGTGTTTAAAGATTGTGGGAATGTATGGAAAAAATAGAAGGATGGAAAAATATTTGTACTCTTAGACTATTCTTTTTAAAAGAATAGTCTACTCTTGTATAAGAATTGTTTTTGTCTTTGTTTTTGTCTATTAAAAGAATAGTCTACTCTTGTATAAGAATTGTTTTTGTCTTTGTACCCTCCCTTTTTTCTTGTATCCTTTCTTCATTTCTTCTCTCTATCCTTTCTTTTTTCTTTTCTTGTTTACTTTGTTTCTGTAGTTCAATTCTTAACTCCTTGGGTCTGTCCTTCCATCCTACATCTTTCACTCCGTTCTTCCTTTTCTTCCATCTAACTAGTGTTAACTTTGTTTTATCAATCTATAAAAAACTATATATAAGACATTTCTGTACTGTCAAGAGAAAAAAAACTTAGATAACTGGGTTTTATCTGAGATAAAAGAAAATATTCCAGAGAGGAGGTGATACAAAAAAATTACGGAAATGTGATGGAGTTTGGACACTTTGGTGACTTATTGTTGTTCTGAACATGTTCCTCAGGTTTATGTGGAAACTACAACATGGCTTTGAATGATGACATGACGTCTCCTCAAGGGAGCCAAGAAGGAACTGCAGTGACATTTGGTAACTCGTGGAAGGCCGACCACACATGCCCAGATGCAGGCAGAATACTTTCAGACCCCTGTTCCATCAGCATGGAAATTGGTAAAAAATAAATTTAACAATGTTATTTTTTTCCAGCCAATTGAAAACCAATGTGATCATCTGTTTAACAATATAGCTTTTCTTTTTTCTTGCTTTGTGAGTATATATATTTAATTTGTATTCAGTATATTCCAGGTTACTGGAAGTGTAAAAATATTTGTACATTTTATTATAGAGAATTATGCCAGACACTGGTGCGAAATGCTCAGAAATCCAAATGGTACATTTGCAAATTGCCATTCAGAGGTGAATCCTGAATATTACTACAAGGTACAACAACAACCTCTTCTTTCAGATTTTAATTCTGTTTTATTGGACTATAATTTTGTTAAAGTGTTCTTTTCTCTGCAGCGCTGCCTTTACTCCACCTGCAGCTGTGAGAAAAGCGAGGACTGCTTATGTGCTGTCTTCACCTCTTATGGTCGAGCTTGTGCAGCAAAGGGAAAGTTTGTGACAGATTTTGGAGACCAATGTGGTAATGTGTCTTTAAGTTTCATGACAACACATTAACCGTCATATGTAAGTCTTGCAACTGTCAGGTAATCTTCCCACATTATCCACAAAACAGAGAAACACACAAAGAGCTGTCCATCAACTCAGATCTTCACTTACAATCACCGGAGATGCCAGCTGACTTGTAGTTCACTGAGCTCAGATCAGCGGAGCTGCACTTCACATTTCTTGCCTGTGGTTGGCTGTTTCTGCCCTGATGGTCTCTATCTGAATGAAAAAGACACTTGTGTACCCAAAGAAGAATGTTCCTGTTTCCATAAAGGAGAATACATTGAGGCAGGAAAGTCTCTCAACATTGATACTGAGCACTGGTGAGTCAGAAGAAACCTTAAATAATATGGTTACTCACGTTTTTTTCCTCCCAGTAACTAGCATTGATGCTACATATGCGTTTCATTGTGAATCTTTCGATGCTTTTCCCAAGTGTTTGCGACGATGGAAAGCTTCACTGCCATCCCCGGAAAAACGAGTCCTTCGGTAAGTCACTAGGTCATTCATTTCCTTGCTTTCCCATAGGACCAGGGGTGAAAGTAAGGGGGTACGGAGGGGTACTCCGTACCCCCAAAAGATTTAGCGGGGGTACGCAGTACCCTCAAGAAAATGGAGCGGCTGTCTGCTGTAAAGAATCAGCAGGTGCACGCAGCCGTGAGTGCGACCGCTGATTAGACATGACTGACTGGTTATTCTAACAATGACCAATCTAAAATAGTGGTTTTTAAACTTTTTTGAGGTACCAAACCCACCAGTTTCATATGCGCATTCACTGAACCCTTCTAATAAGTAAAATATCGCCTGCGCTGCTGGAAACTGTTGAGCGGAGGGTGGGGGAGGGGTACGTGCTCCTCCGCAGCACTGATTGGCTCAGCAATGTAACGTGATCCTTTGCAGCAAGTGATGGCAAAGTGGGGCGTCATCACGACTTTACACAGTGTGTCTTTACCTCCGGCAGAGGCTCCGCCGAACCCCTGAGACCGACTCATCGAACCCCTGGGGTTTGATTGAACCCAGGTTAAGAACCACTGGTCTAAAACATGACTTAATAAGTTAATAAATAGATTTTTCCTCACTTCATATTGTTTCTGAACTGTTCGTGATATGCTAGCCCCTCAATTCTCCACCTTTTGCCCCCTCGGAGTTCGAAGCTTTCGTCAACTGCCAGCCTTTAAAGGTACTCCGCTACAACATTTTGTTACAAAATATCCAAAGTAAAAGCAAAGAGAGATGAACTAATTGTATTTTATGTAATTAGGTTCAATTTCAACAACACATCGCAGCTTGAGAACACCGCTATGACCAGAGATTTCATTTAATTTAACATGAGAGTGCTTGCGCGTTTATCTCCAAAACACAGTGGTTGCCAAGGGGATTGGTGCGTTCGATTAAATAGACTGGGTCATTTTGCAAAGGTGGTGCACTAATACTAAAAACCTCCGCTTGCTTTGGGACAGGACGAACAATAAATCATTTACCATCTACAAACCTTTACATAAAAACCGCGAGAACAACTAAATTGTTAAAAATTTCAAACGAAATCGAAACTTGACCAGCATGCAGAGAAAAATAACGTCCTTATTCAAAAGAAAAGACAGGGAGACCGGAGCTAAGAAGATACCCGACAAAAAAAAAAAAAAAATAAAAAATAAAAAAAAAAAAATATATATATATATATATATATATATATATATATATATATATATATATATATATATATATATAAAAAAAG